ATGTTGCATCTAAGACTCAAGTTTGGTTCAAATTGGACTGGTATTTTGGTCAAATGAAACCAATTCTTTTTTAAATTTGACCAAAATACCACATATCGGGAATTTTATTGAAAACAATGGCACCACATGAATAACATACAATGTAATGCGGCAAGTTGCCAAAACTCAATAAAGAACTTAAACGGAGGTACAATGAAAACTAACAGAAGCAAATAAATCGATCATTAAAAGGAGCAACATAATGACTGTACAAAACCGGACAATAGATACCAAAGTGGTAGTGTGAAGTGGAAAACAATACCTAATACAAACAAACGTACATACAGATACGCTTGTTTATGGTGTAAAGCGAAAAATAAAACCGACATTATCAATATGAAGCATCTGAAAGGACGGAAATGATATATGGAGTAAACAGGGGTCGGCTCAGATAACACCAGCCGAATTGCAATGGGGTTGCACAGCGAAGGACAGAATGAGAGCTAGAAAACAAACACAAGCATAGAGCTGGGGGTCTGGCACCAGGGAAATTCACTGTGTCACTGAGCCATCATCCTCAGACCCCTCATCTTCCAGACAATGGATGAGCCGATGCTGACACTTAGGCACAGGTACTTTGCGAGGGACTTACTCTTCCTGGTGCCAAACCCCAACAGCTTCAGACCAGGTACCAGTCGCTTGTGGGCACATCCCGTCGAACCGATGATGAGGACAATGATTCTACATCTGTACGGAGTGAAGAGTGTAATAATATCAGCAAGAGGCTTATAGTATTGGAACTTGGTTTCATAGCATTGCTGAACAAACACATCAAAGGGGGTGGAGATTTCGACAATGAAGGCATGTTTGTGGTTTGGGTCTAGCAATAGCAGGTCAGGTTTCCTATGGGGGAGGTGAGCAAATAAATGGGAATTGATATTAAACGTCGCACTATTAACCATTTTGTTTTTGATCAGTTGGGAACGAGGACGGAGCTCAAGTAATTCCTCCTCAATCAGATCTACAATCCGGTCATGTCTAGCTGTAAATCTATTTTTGAACTCCATACAACCGTTAAGAACATGAGATGCTGTGTCATGGGGGTTGTTGCAGAGGGGGCAGGATTTAGGTATGGAGTTAGGGTAGTACCTATGTAGGAGAGATCTGCATTCTAAGAGTTGCAAGTGGGCCTTGAAAATAAACTTTACAAGCTTATCACTTATGTTAATGTTATTAAGGTAACCGGTCGAAATTAAAAGTCGATTCCTTGACTACTGAACACTCGTCCCTGGGAGGATTTTGATTTTAGTCTGCCGACTCTACAAAGTGTATGTTTATGTTTCAGGTGGGCAAACAGTGCGGGTGATGAGCGGAAGGCCAGAGACACAGTTTCGTCAGCAGCTGAAACAATGACAAATTCATCCCCACGGTCTTCTAATAGGTGTTCACGCATGAGCAGTTCATTTAGTTCCACCCAGACAGATTTCGGCCAGTTGACCTTACCACCCTTAATCACCCTGCCTTGTTGGTCCACCTGGAACCCACCAAAGGAAGGCTCCTCTGGGTCGACAGATTTCGGTGCCTTGCGTTTCGTCAGAGAAGTTCGAGCAATTGACCTTATTTGGGGGTCGTCAGAATTGAGTGTTTCTATTAACAAAAAGGAAGCTCTTTTAGCAATGTACATTGTCGTTGGACTGCACACACCCAGGCCTCCCATCTTTCTGGGGATAAACATGATATCACGGTTTCTCGATGTGTTCAGTCCAAGCCAACCTCGAATATGACCTACAATCACATCTTCCATTGCTGACAATCTGTTCAATGGGAATGAGATATTACACATGTAAAAATTGAGTTTGGAAATGGCAATTTGGTTGATGGCTTGGATCTTTGCAACTACCGGAAGCAAACTGTTGCTGTTGCTCAGCCTCTGCTTAAACTCAGCAGAGATCTTGTCCAGCTGAGAGGTACATGCTTTGCTATCCAGACTAGTTTCAAAACCCAGGTAGGCATAAGAACCAGCTTTACCTAATTTAGGGATGGGTTCACCTTGTACCACCGGCTGAACTGTGCCAGTTCCATCGTTTTTGTACCAGTTATTACCAGACCTTTGGCCATGAAGGATGGCACATTTCCTATGTTTGATCTTCATGCTCGTGAAATAAGGAAACATTTCCGTTTTCTCACACATTTCCTGCAGAATGCATTCAGAGGTGGTACCAAGGCTATGTCATCCACGTATGCTTGGACTGGGCAGGGTATCGTTGGGTATGGGATATTACGCCACATCCATCTGAGCCAGATGTTGATCCCCTGCTCAAACACCAGCACCAAAAATGGACAGCCCTGAATAATACCTATTGTTCTGTTAATGGGATCTGTTAAACCATTACATGTCTCCACCTCAAACGTGGAATTACTGTAGATATCCTTAGTCAAATGTATTAACATGTCGGGATATCCGTAGGCTTTAAGAGATTCTAGCATAAAACTGTGATTAATGCTGCCGAAAGCATCGGCCAAGTCCAAAAACGTTATGAACATTTTGCTAGACTGGTGACGGAAGTCTGAGATGGCGGTATTTAGGCCAAAAACATGTTCTTGTAAACCACTTCGGGGTAATGAACCATTTTGACTTAGGGACAATCTACCGGTCTCAATGATCCATGGGATTACTCTGTGCTCCAAAACCTTCATAAACAGCCTGTAAGCGGTCAGCAAAAGTGAAATTGGTCTCCACTCAGACCGGTCCACTGAGTCCGGTGCTGCTTTCGGAATCAGTTTAATTGTTGCTCTTTTCCAGTCGCTTGGTATCCGACCATTCATCAAACAGGTGTTTAAAACAGACGTCAGAATCGGGATGCAGTTTGTGATGCATGCTTTCAGATCTACATAAGAGACGCGATCATGTCCGGGTGCGCTCTTTTTTGACGTTAACTTCAATGCGGCACGTACTTCTCCTTCCGTTATAAACTGAACAAGGTGCGTAGAATCGTCTGGTGGTTGCAGGGTTACCTGACCTTTCCATGGTGCATTGTCGAGGGACCAGCATCCATTGGCATGTGGGTTCTTTTGTTCGAAGAACTCCTTCACAATTGATGCAGGAGCTGGACAAACCACAGCGGGAGATTCAACGTTATCGTTGTTAATGATCTGAATGGCCCTTTTTCTGTTTGACTTCCACAGTTGCGTAATGCGTGATCTTGTTACTGGCTTTGGGTTTGAATGGGATTTAGCCACCATGGAGAAACATGGCTGAATGTCTTCTTTTATCAATTCTAGGCACGAATGAATCAAGTTAAGCCTCTCGGTCTTGCTTGCATTCCGCGAGGGCTTCACACTGTTGGGGATGGGAAATTTACTCAAGATACGATTGGAGTATTTCAGAAATGATTGTTTGAGTCGGCAATTTTATGAGTTTAATCCAGCTAGCCGGGGACGGGTGACTGAATTTACCAGCAGGTCCGTGGCGTTTGGAAGCAATGCCCATTCGAAAAGCCCGTTCAGACTTTTCAAACTCGGCCCAGTTGTGTTCATCCATTAAACCGGCGACATGGTGGTGATTGTTTGCTGCGTCATAGGTGCTTACCACTGGTATTTCATGCTGCCGAATTTTGCCACCCCTCATACTCTCCTTCAAGGCCGACTTCAGCTCCTGGGTGATCCCCATATCCTCCGAAAAAGAACGAACGTTGACCAGGGACATCACCAGGGATGTAAGTACCAACAATTCAAGCCAAAGATGGTATTTGGAGGGTAAAACTGTGTGGAAGTGAGAGCGTTGGTCGAACACGTCTGCTCCACGTGCCATCCTGGTACATACATACAGACATACGTATGGACATACGTACAGACATAATGATTGCATAGTCTCTTTCCTGAACTTCATTCAGATAAGACAAAAATATTTTGTAACAATTCATTACAATACAATACAATACAATAAAATTTTATTATCCCAGTGTGGGAAATTCCATGGCCTTTTTACACGTTATTTGGTTTAAAACACATAAAAAGCACGAATGTAAAAACTACACAAATACAAAAATACAAACATTAAAACTTATAACTTATATTAACTTATAACATCTGTCCGTAGGCAAGTAAGATATGTCAATTTACTGTGTACCTGTACTGTGAGATTAGAAGGTTTGCATGGTGGAAAGGTACTAAGACAAGTTAAGTCCGCGGTAGCACCACGTGAACAAATCTCCCCCGCGAGCACGTGTGGCTCCGAAAAAGAACCGGAGGGACCCAACGCCCCGAACAGCATGCTCCGCCTGTTGTCAGGAAAATGTTCATTCTCCCGACGACAGGCAGAGCACACCGCTTGAAACGCTGAGCCCCCGGCCCCCCAGAACCACACACACTCACAAAAGAGACCCATCCACACGGCGCCACCGCAAACCCATCCCGTCCCAATACCTGTACTGTGTTATTCCTATTTGTTTAACAAAAGTTAAGTTGCTTATGAAAATTTTATAAACGGTGGCAAGATATAGTAATGTAATAGTCACGTGGTATATAGCACGCTATATTTTATGGGAATCTTAGGGGGCTTATTTCTTCCTATAGTCGTTTCATGCAAGACTTTCAAGCACGATGGCCAGATCAAGCTTATTGCATTATGTATGGCAGCACGTTCATGTTATGTTCAGAAAATCATACAAAAGTACATGTAATCAAAAGCTGCAAAAAGTCATGGAATTGAGGGCTCCAAATCCCAGGGACACCAAAGCTCCTGTTCCACAGCCACTGTGATAAAAAAGAAGATGTTTTGCATGTTGCAATTTGATCCACCTAAAATGACTACGTGAATTAAGTGCACGATGTCATGATTCTGGGCACAAATTCAAGATTAAGGACGGAGTCTTTTCAGATGTGGTCAAAACTGTTTCGAGCAAGAATGAGGGCACAAAAGCAAAAAGAGGTTCTTCATCTGAGAAGCAATATACCACAAGCAGCTGAGCCCAATTGAGTCGAAAGAAATTAAAGTTATTGGCAAAAAAATTCAATCTAACCTTTTTCTGTTGTTTGCAAGCCTCCTCTTTCTCCCTCAGCCTCTCTCTCATCAGGTCTTCCAGCTCAGCCAATGACTTCCCCAAGATGTCCTTGTCATCGAAGGGTTTTGTCTTACCTCTTCCTTGCTCTAGATGCCTCTGCAGCTGACTGATGCGAGCAATCACATCACTTGGATGCAACAAAGCACCCAAAGCTTCTTGCATTTGTTCTTGCTGACTGTATAGTTGGTCTTCTAATTCCTCTCTCTGTGCCTGTGATGATTGAGGACCATTTAAAAGAAAACTGTGAGACAGTATTTCCTATTCTGTACTCTCAGCAAAAGTCTCCCCCTCAAACAGTGAAAAAGAGAGAGTTGAGAGACACAAGTGATAACAGCGTTGCTGGTGAAAACCCTCAGCCGGAGTCAAGTTATCATCTGGAAACCATTTTAGAGAACAAAATCTTATTAACCTTTAACTCGCTACAGTGACCTTAACCTTTGACCTTTTGATCCCCTCACCAAGCCACTTGCCTACTCCGAAGTTACAATCCCAAACGACATTTCTAACTCAAGTTATCATCAGAAAACTAAGCTGCCCGGACGGACGAACGCCAAAAGCGATGACAATTATACCCCTCCAACCTCTCGGCTGAGGGGTAAAAATGAGTATCATTGTGTGTCTTTGCATCATATGCACACAAATCAATCATGTGCCCCAAAAATCAGTAATATAATCCATATCTGATTTGCACCCCGATATTTATTATGGGAGTTGCGAACTTACACACCGGTGAACTTCTGCAAAATTGTTCAATTTTAGTTGCAGTAATACTGCTGACAAGCAAGACTGAACTTTAAAACAACTAGGTAGACACATAATAATACCTGCAGTTTTCCGAGTAGGTTGGCTACCACCTCATTCTTGGCACAGTCATGTGACTGGTCAATGGACTGCCTAAGAGCTTCAACCTGTCTCCTCTGTGCATAAAGTTGCTTCTTTAACATACCATTTTCTAGCTTTAATAGAAAAATAAACACATGTCTTTGTGTCAATTTCAAACAAAAATCTGTGTGTGGTATATTGTTCATGCCTTTAGGCCCAATAAAACAAACAACACCTGATTAGCGTCCCTACCCACTTCCGTTTTTGAGTTTGCCTTCTTCTTTTTTTAAACCGAAAAAATTATAGATTTTAAACAGTGACATCATTTTGTCCTCTTTGTCTGTTGCATCTAGCCCATATAAAGCTGGTACATACATGTACATGTATGTCATTTCCTGAGTCCAATCACGGCCATTTAAAAAAAACAAACCTGGCAGCCATCTTGAAAAATAGCCCGGTCAGCGGCCATTTTGGAGGGGGAAAAAAAGGCCTCTCGCTTCAATTTTTTGTTCAAAAGGCAGGACCCTTAACATTTTTTTGGTGTATTTGGCCTTACATTTGCCCTATATGTACAGCTGTATGTACATGTACATGGACTGCATTGCGCTGTAGATAAGTACATGTATATAGGATGAAACTAAGTTAAAGCAGTGCCCACAAACTCCTAGCTCTGATGAAGTCCTAGTCAGGCCGAAAATTAAGTTCCAGTGTTCCTGGTGAGCACTGCTTTAACTTAGTTGCATGCTACATACATGGATCTTGAGACCAAAGGTCCAATTGGGTTGATATTTGGTACATGTACGTACACAGACAGGGACGTGTTACAGATGAAAATCAACAGATTCTGGAGCGTTTGACCATTAAACTTATATATTGCCAAAAAAAGAGGCCTAATTAAACATTCTTTTTTCATAATAGACTCAGTAGGGCATAGATATGTAAACAAAATGTTGAGAAATATGTGCACAAACATGAAGCTAAAGATAGTGATGCAGAAGTTTGAGGAATACTGTATACCAAAAAAGAACATCACATATGAGTGACACAGATTCTTCACTCGAGGCCAGCCAGCAAACGCAAACGTTGCAAATCGTGCGAATTTGGCGATCTTAAAGATTCCTTGATAAGGGATCGAATCATTTGTGGCATTCCTGATGATGCACTAAGGGCACGTCTCCTCAGAGGCGATAACTCAAACCTTGAAAAAGTGCTCCAAGTATGCCGAGCAGCAGAAGCCACCAAAGTACAAGCCAAAAAGCTGGCACCATCAGATACGTCAGTTGATGCAATGTATGCCAAAAAGAGTAAGGCAAATTCACAACAAAAAACACAGGCAGCAACCAACAGAGAGTGTGGCCGATGTGGAAGATCGCATGAATATGCAGCATGCCCCGCCCATGGAAAAAGTGCACAAAATGCGGCAGAGCAAATAATTTTGCACAGTGTTGCAAAACACCATGTACGAAGCCTAAGCACAAAAAGAAAATACACAATGTAAGTGAATGTCCTGAAGAGATAGAGGAATTCTTCGTTGATGTGGTGGAGAGCGGCATGACCAAAGATGAATGGACACTCGCCTTAGAGACAGAAGGTACAAGAGTGACCTACAAGCTAGACACGGGTGCACAAGCAAACCTACTACCCGAGAAGCTGTATAAACAAATGAAACCCAAACCGAAGTTGCACACTGCAAGAGTGAAAGCCACAGGATACTCTGGTGTGGACATTCCCATCACAGGCAAATGCATGGTGAAGGTGCAACATAAAAGTGAGACACACTTCATCGCATTCCTCATCACACCAGGTAACTTTCAGCCAATATTAGGCTTAAAGGCATGTGAAAAGATGAACCTTTTCAAACGGGTTCTCAACATCAACCAAAATCCTTCGGTGACAGATGAGTTTCCAGATGTATTTACAGGATTGGGATGCTTGCCTGGACAACATCACATAACTATCAGTGATGATGTTGTGCCAGTACAGCACGTTTGAAGAAAAGTAAAGGAAGTTTTCTGCAGGTGTGCCCACTCCAAGACAAGCTAAAAGAGGAGCTGAAGAGAATGGAACAACTGGGAGTAATCACAAAAGTATAGAAGGGCAGGTTGGGTTTCTTCCCTGTGCATTGTCGACAAGAAAAACGGCAAGCTCAGAGTATGTCTCAATCTGAGAGATCTGAACAGAGCCATCAAAAGAGCTCACTACAAATTGCCATCTCGTGCAGAGATTATGTCACATTTTGCCGGCGGAAAATTCTTCAGTAAATTAGATGCGTCTAGTGGATTCTGGCAAATTCAGCTGGATGATGCCAGTTCTTGGTTGTGTACATTCATCACACCGTTTGACAGATACAGATTTCTGCGTCTTTCCTTTGATATTACAAGTGCCCAGAGGTGTATCACAAGATCATTCATGACCTCTTTTCCGAAGTACCAGGAGTGAACACGATGATGGATGGCATCATTGTGTGGGGTTCAACCAGAGAGGAACATGATCGATGTCTCCAGCAAGTACTCGATATTGCTAAGCAGAACAATCTGAAACTCAACAGTGAAATATGTGAGTTTGGAGTCAGCAGTTTGACATTCACAGGAGATGTCATCAGCGACCAAGGAGTCCAGCCAGATCCGAAAAAAAAGTCTCAGCCATTCACAACATGGAGAGACCACAAAACAAGACCGATGTTCAACGGTTCCTGGGCATGATAAACTACATGGGTAAATTCATCCCAGACCTGTCTACCAAATCGGAGCCACTCAGAGTTCTACTTGACAAATATAACCTCTTCACATGGCAAAATGCACAAGAAAAAGCATGGACACAACTTAAGCATGATCTGACCACAGAGCCATTGCTAGAGTTCTATGACCCGACAAAGCCAACAAAGCTATCAGCCGATGCATCACGCAATGGTCTTGGTGCAGTTCTACTACAGCAGTATGACGACGCATGGGCACCAGTTGCATATGCCTCAAGAGCAATGACTGATGCAGAGACACACCATGCCCAGATAGAAATAGAGCTGTTCGCAATAACGTATGCATGTGAAAGATTTCACCAGCACATCTACGGGCAACAGGTGGAAGTGGAAACAGACCATAAACCACTCATTCCACTGTTCACTAAACCACTGTGCAACTGCCCATTGAGAGTACAGCAACTACTAATCAGAGTCCAGCGATATGAGTGTCCTTCACTCCAGGCAAGTTCATGTACACTGCAGACACACTGTCTAGGGCTGCAGACCCTACTGAAGAGAAAAACAGCCATAGAGTTGAGGACATCCATGTATATGTTGACACAGTGCTGAAATCCATGCCAGTTTCATCCAACAAAAAAGCAGAAATAAGAGAAACACAACGAGATGAAACTCTACAGACCTTGAGAAGAGTAACACATGAAGGTTGGCCAGACATCAAAAGCCAATGCCCAGCTAGCATACATGACTACTGGAATGTGCGCAGTGAATTATCAGAAGCTGATGGCATGTTGTTCAAAGGGACAAATATCATAATCCCTTTATTACTGCGCAAAAAATACATGAAGGTCACCTCGGCATTGAAAAATGCAGAGCCAGGGATGTCATGTATTGGCCTCGCATAAAACAAGATGTGAACAATATGGTGAAGAACTGCAACGCATGTCTGACATATCAGAAAAATACACCGGCAGAAAAACTCCAGCCTCATCCAGTTCCCAATCGTGCATGGGAAAAAGTAGGTGCAGATTTCACAGTGGACTATTTCTCACAGTTCATCGAAGTCTGCACACTGAGTACCACAACCAGTAGAACTGTCATAAAGAATATGAAGTCAGTGTTCTCTCGACAAGGAACTCCCTGTGAAGTATTTACTGACAACGGCCCACAGTTCGGAAGTGCTGAATTCAAACGCTTTACTGCAGATTGGGATTTCGTTCATTCTACATCCAGTCCACAATACCCTCAGTCCAATGGACTTGCAGGGTCTGCTGTGAAAATCATCAAGAACATGATTCGGAAGGCAGCATGCAGTGGCCAAGATATCTACAAGGCACTCCAAATCAATCGAAGCAGCCCACTTGAGTGTGGAAAATCCCCAGCTGAGTTGTTGTATAACCAACGCATCCGAACCAATCTGCCTATTGCAGATAGTTTGTTGGAATTTCAGCATCTTGACACTCAAGCCTTCAGGAGGAGAAAGATGGAACAAAAGAGCAAGCAGAGTATGCAGCACCAAAAGCAGACTGGAGCACATGCCCTACCCCAGCTTCAGACAGGTGACACAGTCCGACTACTAGACATGGAGAGCTCCACTTGGTCTAAAGATGGAGTGGTGATAGCAACCCTTCCCAATCAATCCTACATGGTTCAGACAAATTAACACCGGTACACTCCGCAGGAATAGACAAATGCTAAGGAAGACAACTGTCAATCAACAGGGGCAAGAATCTAGTCATTCTCCATTGGATACACCATCAGTAGAACAGGCCCCATCAACCAGTACCTCAATGCCAGAAGCATTCAGCACACCCAGTGTGAGCATAACTCCAGCCAGTATGCCTACTCCAGCCAGTATGCCTGCTCCAGCTAGTATGCCTGCTCCAGCCAGTATGCCTGCTCCAGCCAGTATGCCTGCTCCAGCCAGTATGCCTGCTCCAGCTAGTATGCCTGCTCCAGCCAGTATGCCTGCTCCAGCCAGTATGCCTGCTCCAGCTAGTATGCCTGCTCCAGCCAGTATGCCTACTCCAGCTCAAAGCAACATGGAACTCCTGAAAATGACTCGAAGTGACCGTGTTGTTAAGCCACCAGACAAACTGAACTTGTGAATGTGCCAAATGGTTCACCTGCAAAAGACTGAAGAACTGGACTTTTGCATGAAGTTGCATGCTGATAGTTTAGAAAAGAAGTTCAGCTAACAGTTAAAGTGTTTAAAACTAATTTAAAACTAATCCAGTGTTATTCAAGTTATTACTAACATTGTTTAGAATTTAAGAATTTAATGTCAGTCTCCCCACAGTTTACGAAAACCAAGAACAACAAATTAGTACGAGATCTGAATCTGCTTTTATTATTATTATTACTTTTATTATTATTATTATTATTCCCACAAATGTACCATTAGGGAGACACGTTATCGTAATTTCTTCGACAAAAGGG